TACACATGGAGCCTGACCATCCAACCTTCTGATATAATAGGAACCTAGATATTATCAGTTGGTTCCTTGCCTTCTTCCAAGTGTCCATTTTAAAAGTTCATTGCGTGTTGCTGCCTAACGAAACACCTTAGAATTCAGAACCTAAGAAATCCCAGATTATGATGCTATTGTGATTGCATCATAATACATTTACTCAGCATCAGTTGGCAATAAGTATTTTAAGTATCCTTAACAGTGTTGTCAACATTTTCTGAATCCTCAGCGGTGTAGTATACAGATGAGAGAGAGAGTTGCTACATGAGCATGTGAGGTTGGGGAACAGAATTTAGAGAGGTATGTTCATTCCCATTTTACACATAGGGACTTGAATGCTTTAATCTTAACAGTCCTTGTGTTTTCCTACAGTATATTTTATAGGGTAAGTTTCTCTCTACTGTTAGGGGTCTTTCATCAAGCTGATTTCCAGTCCTTGGCTCCTTACCAAGAGGTATTTGAATCCATAATGGTGCTTTGTTTTTTGTTTTTCTGTTTGTGTTTTTTGGGGGGTGGGGGGTGGGGCGGGGGTTGTATTAGGTATCTGTCCACTAAGGCCTGGACTGACATGACCAGCTGATCTTGATCAGTTAAGAAACAGTTACCAGATGTGATCAACTTCTGAAACCTCCATCTGTGCACAGGGTGTATTTGGAAACTTCCTTCAGCTACTTTGTATTTCATTGCAGCCTATATCTACAACTCTTCCTGAAGAGGACACATCAGAATGCTAAAAGCAGATCCCAATCATTCTAGATGAATTGTGAGGTCCCTTCCAGCCCCACTTTTCTAAGGCCCCTGATGCATGTTACATCTATTGTGCAATTAACTGGTTAATTGCACAATAGATTTAGACATGCTACATGTGCAAAGTAATTGTGACAGTAAAAATGGCCAGCCATAAAAATGGCCAATGAGCTGTAAATCTTTTACTTGAAAAGGGAACTTTCATAGCTGGTTTCTATCAAGCTTTAATTTTTGAAGATGTGGCATGTCACATACAGGCTTAGTGTTTGGCCAGGACCTTCAGTATCCCAAGGTAGACTGATCTGTCTCCCTCTCTCTCTCTCTCTCTCACCTCCCCTTCCTGCAAGGGGTCTGATACCTAACTCTGCTTCCTCAAGTCTCAGTTGCAGGCTCATTTCATGGCTCATTGCCACTTCTTTCTTCCTTCAACCAGCCTTCAATTTGCATGCTTTGCTTGTCTTACATGAGGAGATGGGGGGGGGGGGGGGAAATTTTTACAGAAAACTGTGTGCAGGACAAGCACATGCACACAAGCATCTTGCAAGGAAGGTCCCTGGAGAGTTGAACCCTGCCACTCCTGCCCTCTCCTTCCCTCCTCCCCCCTGCCCTTCACAGGGACTCCCTGGATGTGTGCAAGGGCTTGGGGCGCAGGTCCTCCCCTGGGGAGTCCAGCTGGCATCTTGTTCCCATCACAGATGAAGAGGAATGACAGCCCCTGTCAGCAGCTCTCCAGCTCCCCTTTCTGTTGGAAACTTGCTGTGCTAGTGCTCAAGATGTTCCCCCCCACACTGCCCTGTATATCTTGCCCTTTGAATGTGAAGCATGTCACTTGGCATGACAGTTTCTATTGAGTGATATTGCCTGTTGCTTGATGGAAGTAACATCTGTCAGGGGCCCGAGAGTGCTACCACAGAAATGGTATTGACAGCATAGGATACTGGCTTCTGTGCAAGTGCAACCCAATGGTGAATGCAAGTGGCAGGTCTCCCTTTGTGTAGACCCCTGGAAGTTAGTATTTGTGGTACCTACAGCTTCTTTAGGTAAAGTTTTAGTTTATGCTTTTAGTTCTGGGTATCTATGATTCAATCCTCAGTGTTGGCTACGAGGTGAGCCGTAGCACATACTCTTTCCTACAATTCTGCCTACCTGTTCCAACAATGCTGCTGAGACAACACCGTTTCCCAGACAGAGGCCGTAACATGGGGGAGGGGGAAGGTACATGTTTGTAAAACTGCAGTGCTAATGTACTCTAACTGTGCAATGTATTACTTGCTTGCTCTAGAACGTAATTCACAGATAATGAAGACTATGTCCCCACCCTGAAGAAATTATAATCTGTATTCCTGGTTGGAGTTTCTGATCAGAAAGGCTCTTGACTGCATTCTAATATCTCTTAATTATGGTACAGACCAGTTTGGCAGTGGGTTTTGGCAGAGGCTGCTATTCCTCATACAAAATTTTGGTAATCAAGATCATGTATATCTTATGTTTTGTCTTGATACTTCTACATTTTCAGTTTTAAAGAATCCCTGACTTACACTGAAGGAAAGAACTGGAAGTTATTTGCCATAAATTTCCTGCAGAAGTGACATGCAAGAATGTTAGACATCTGTTCCCAAATTGTTACGTGGGAAGTATATGCAGATGAAGTTTAAATTTATGTTTTCCAGAAGGTGAAGTTTGATACAGGGTATAACTAAATCCAGCTCTAGGAAGTGAACAAGGCATAGCTTGACATAAGCAGGATAAAAACCCTGTGCTTGCATCAGGTTCAATGAGAATTCTCTAGAACTCAAGCTTAGGGAGCTGAGTAGTATATGGCTGCACATGACAGTTGACAACAAGTGGAAAGATTGGAGTTAACACACCCTTGGGTGCTTTTACTTTTCATAATTGGTTCTTTTTCAAGTAACTTTAAGGGCAGTGTAGTGGGAGAGAATGAATATCTCTCAAAAGAAGGTGGAAAGGCCAGCAGAGGTCATCTTGAATTTCTCCTTTCAAGTATTAACTCTAAATAAGGAATATGTTGCCCCTCTCAAAGCAGCCTTGCTGGCAACCTCAGCTATACTCACTTGAACTACTTACTCCATTAATTACAGTAGTTGAAGATCTAGTTCAAAGAACTGGTGTAAGTGGAGCTGTTCCAATTTATATTGTGTGAAGGTCTGGCTTGGGCTAAAGGCTCTTCCTCGTTGTGAAGTTTCACAGTTCACTGGAGATGAGGAACAGCCGGGGTGTGCAGAGTGATGTGATGGGTGTTTATGGGCACGGGGGGTGGGGGGGAAGCTATAAAGGGAAGACTAATCTCATGTGTTACTGACCCTACATATGAGTGCAGAACGTACAATATTCCAGTGACCTTGTGCTAGTGCTCTCACCTAATGGTACTGTAGAGACCTAATTGTGAGTGTGCTATGCTCAGTGTTGGTGTAATGAGATCATACAGAAAATGCTTTAAAATACTGTTTGGCTATTGGTGACTTTTTTTTAGCTGCTTGTTTCTTTCTTATATGCTGCATAGAATGCATAAATAATACTGTGTTATTAAGATGCATTAGAGGATCCCATTTGACCACCTGGAGAAACAGGGATGATGCAGATAAGCTGGTTGGACCAGGGTGAAATTCTGCTTGTAAGACCTGGAGGGAGGTGTGGGGGGTTATCAGTGATCTCAGGGGGACTGGATTTCATCTTGGGTGTATTACTGTGCTCTGTGGCCTCTGGCAAGGTTTTGCTGCTACAGTAATGTATTGTACAGGCAGAATAGTTAGTATTTGTATAGTAAATTGTGCTAACATTCTAGTTAGCTTCCTAGAACCTTTACCTTTCAGTGCCTCAGTTTACCATTTAGTACAAAACATTCTCACTAGGGCATTGAGGCTTATGAGCTGATAAGTTCCAAAAGCATTGGATGAATGGTGCTATAGATGAGAGTATTATTGTGTTCAAGTTGCATGACTTGTGGAATGCTAAAATTCCTAATCTAGAATGCAGCTGCACCTGCATGCATGCTAGTAGACAATTTCTAGTCTACACTCCTCTTTTAATTTGTAGGGGTAAAAATGTATGCTGTCTGTTTTAGCACGTCTGTCCTTTTCCATGATACAAGAACATCATTTCATTCCTTTTGGCACTGAAGTTGTTTGCTTTTCTTTCAGGCATGTTTTAATCTATATATTAAACTTTTGAAAGTTGAGCTCATAGCTTACAGTTTGTCTCTCCCATAATGGTGGTTTTATTATACAAAATATCTGCTGGTGACTGGAGACTTGGTACATTTTATTTTTTGTTGAAATATGCTCCTATTGCCATTCTTGTCTGTAAAATTAATGACCAGCTTGTTGACTACCTGGTTCCAGGTGAGTTGGTGCCTCAAGGAAAAAAAACCTCTTGATTATTGCTTTAAGTTGATCCATATCTCTCAACCTCACTCTATTGACTTATACATTTCTCATGCATTTCAACTTCTATCTCCCCATGAATTTATTAATTGATTAGCTCTCTGGTACACACTATGAATCCCATTTTATCTATGGGGACCTGAAATACAGAAAGATTAAGTGACTAGGGCCCAGTTTACACACTATACTTGATTAACCAGCTAATTGCATATTGTTACCTGGCCACATGTTCAATCAATTAATGGTGTGATAAAAGAAGGAACAAGCCACCAAGTTATTCCACAAAAAATGTAGAATAATTTGTGGCTCCTTACTATCATGCATTGTGATCCTGGGCTCCCCCTGCATTGTCAGTAAGGTGTGATGGGATCTAATTCACGATACCACAATCATGCTTGTGTGGTATGGCAGGAAGCTCAATTGTGTGAATCTCACATCAGGACCCTATTTCACCTTTACCTGCAAGTGTAGAGGGGTCCTAGTTACACAAGATCTGTGGCAGACGAACAAACCTGACTCAAATAAGTTTTTGGGTTCCAAGCTGGTGTCTTAGCAACATGAAGGTAATACAAGAGACACTGTATAAAGTGTAGTTTCCTTTTCTTAGTTCTCATTCACTGTTCCCTCAGATTTCAAAGTGTTCCTGTAGCTACTATAGAAATTCCAGTAAGCCTCATCAGAGCACCACTTAGCTTGGGGGTCTTGCTGGAGAACTTGATCTAGCTTTCCAGGGAGTAAGTAGGACTTCAATATTCTTTGTATATTTAATGAGATGCTTGTCCCTGTTGCTTGATTTTTGTTTGTTTTGTTTTGTTTTACAGGACATGAACAAGCACTGAATGATGGAAGAAGAAAGTCAATATTCACTCATGGTAAAATATTAATGTTCTTTCAAAATGCTTTATTTACACAACAAGGGGATGTTGTGTCGTAATAGAGTTGCATAAGGAGGCATAAAGAGCTGGAATGGGAATGAGGATCTTGTCTATCTGTATGATGGTTATGTTGCATCTAACTTGACCACGTGTTGTAGCACTGTTCTTTTAAAACTGCCCTGTCTTTACTTTGGTCATTTGTCAGTCTTGAGGTTAATATTAAGGTGAATAATTAGGACAGAACAGAGGGGTCAAGTGACAAATTTTGATGTACACTATTCAAATGAGAAAATTGCCAAGGCTTTAGGAAAAAGCTATGAAACTAAAGGAGTGGAAAGCAGATGACCTGAGGAGCTTAGTTTGGTGAGGAGAAGGGTTTGGGGCAGGGACAGAACTTGATTGCAGTCTACTTTGGAATTAATTGTTGGGATTTTGTCTTCCTCTAGTGCAGGGGTGTCCAACCTTTTTGAATGTGGGGCCAGATCATGAACTTCTTATCACCCAGTGGGCTGCCAGGAGTGGGCGCTCGCGCGGCCTGTCCAGTCCGGCTGCAGCTTGGGGGCGCAGGGGTCAAGGGGTGCTGCCTGGCCCCGATGCCCTCCCTGCCACCTGGGCAGCCTCAAGGATGCTTCCACACCTGCGCACCTGGGGACGTAGGGACTCTACAGAGGGGTGCGGGATATACAGGGACACCCACTCCCCCCCCCGGGGCAGCCCGAGCCCATGCTGGCACCCCTCTGCTCCCTCCCTTCCTGGGGCCTGAGACTCACCACCCGCAGCGCAATGTCTGTGGGCGCAGGGGGATGTGGGGAGGCGGGAGTGGTGCTGGCTTCCTGCCCTGACAGCCACAGCAGCAGCTTCCGCAGGCCCAGCCGCAGCATCCCTTCGAGCCGGCATCTGTGCCCTCTGTGCCCGCCTGCCTGCTGCACTGTGACCTGCTACAGCCCGCAGGGCCAGCGCAGGGCGGGGCCAGCATGCAAATGAGGAAGGGAGGGGTGGGGCGAGGAAGGGATACCATGAAATGAGGGGAGGAGAGGAGAGGAGCCGCACCTTGTCGGCAATGTCAAGCTGATGTGGTGTGTGTGGGAACCTTGTCCCTTCCCCAGCCCTTCAGCCGACATTAGGAA